AAAAAAACCATTGATGATTCCTAAGTTTATGCGAAAATACTTTAAACTAATGTGACAAAAGTTTGCGTTTCTGAAATGTGCAGCATCCTGTTACATCTGAAGAAACATTTCACAAAAAGAACATCATGCTGAAACATAGTGGTAGGAGTGTGATGATCCAGGGCTGCTTTCCTGCTTCAGGACTAGAAGGACTAGCCTCAGTTGCTGAAACAATAATAAACAACAATCCCAATGAAACCAACTTTAAATAACCTCTGATTGGCCTCAAATAAATGTGTTGTTTTTTTCTTTTGTAATTTGACTCAGTGGTTAGTGTTTTAACAGCCTGCAGTGATGCTGATTTATGACAATTCTACAAACAGGAATATGTCTAAATTCTTTCAGGGCAATAAAACCTATTGGAAGCTTAAAGCTTGATGCCAGTTTTTGCTGCTAATGGAGGCACAACCAAAAGCTTTTTTGTTTAAGGGATATGTTTATGTAAATTATGTTACTGCTGGTATGTATGATTTGCATCCCTGTTGTTTTTAGTGACCACTTCAATGTTTGTATCTGTTCCAGATGACAGCAGTGGTCTGATTTTTATTTGATTTTTTTCATTAAATTCTAATTTTCTATATTTGCCAACAACTGCAATAGTTCCACCTTTTAGTAAAAAATCTTACACTAGGCAACTTATTCTAAGTATGTTTGTTTAAATCAATTAAATTTGTAAATATGTATTTGCTTTCAGACAAAGAATAAAAGATGTTGGTCTTTCTAACTCAGGCGTATTTACATCTGTATATGTTACTAATGCTTATTAAGAACACATCCCTTTCAAAGACTGAATAAGATAAATGTTTTATTTTTTTTTAATCTTCCTTGAACTTTCCCACAGCTGAGGATGGAGTACCTCTCCCTCATGCACTCCATAATACGCTCTACGGACTACCTGGAACACCAGCACCGGCTGTCTGACCTGCAGGGGTCACTGAAGCGGATTCTCAGGGAGGAGGAAGATCCAGGAGAGGACGAAGGAAGCGCCACAGCAAAACAGATGGATAAGCTAATTGTGCAGCAGATCTTCAAGGAGTTTCCACAGATCTGTGACAACCAGAACTGACCATATCCGTGTTATGCACATTCACACGCTGTAGTTTAGTTCCTGTCTGCTGTGGGGGGGGGCTTCCAAAAAAGATGGTTCTGCACCAGCCGAGGACAACAAAAGCAGACTCTCCAGGGCTTCACAGTTCAAGTTGCCACACTTCTTAAGCAGTTAGCTCAAATAATAAAGACAGTTCTTTTATCTTTTAAAAAACTTTAAAGTACAGAAGAGTTCTCTTTTATTTCTTTAATATAGTTAGCCTAAATTAATAGCAAGCAGCTCCTAAAGATAATTTTAAGCAATAAAAACTAAGTTTCGCATGAACTACCTACATTTGCTATGTCAGATTAACTGCATCTTAAAGCGGAATTTTATTCTAACCAAACTAACTTAAACCAAATAGATTTCAGAGAAAATATAAAGAGCCAAATCTGTAGTTTGTATCAGTGCCATTATTTCAACTTGGAGACAAATGTTTTGCAAGCTTCCCTTTGTAGAGGACCCAAACTACTGAGTGTAACGGAGAGTATTATTTTCTTAAATGGTAACTGCACTCTTACCCCTAACTTCCTGTGCCATGAAACATCTCATTAAATAATACTTAAAGCAAGCTGAGCAAGTTTACTTCCTTAAAAAGCACCTCTACAGAACTGTAGTTGGGTTTGCTGCTTCTGCTGCTTTGAATTCTCTGCTGTATCCGTTTCCTTCTTCTACAGTTGTTTTTTTAAATCCCATCTACTAATAATAATTTCTGTTTTCCCTAAATGCAATGCTTTGTATGACATTTAGAACTCGCAAACAGCTGAATTGCAGCTGTATTGTTGTACTGTACTTGTTTGAATTATAATCTTTTGTTCCTGCTGAAAAAAAGATGCATATAGAGGGAAGGCATTTTTATGTTTTTTTCATTTTCTCACTTTAGTGTTGTGACTGATTATCCCGCTCTTAACATATAACTGTTGACGGTTCTGTTCCAATAGAAACTCCTCTCCTCTTACCTGAAGATCCATGTCTGTTTTTCTTTGACTAATTGTGTATTTGTTTACAGTATGTGTAAAGTGTATGTTTGAGTGAAACATATTCATGATTGGCATTGTCTGCTAATATGCTGCACCTGTGTAATAAAACTAATAAAGTATATTTTAACAGAGATATTGCTTCAGTTGATGGTGTGGAGCAATCATGTAATATCTAAAGCTGTTGCACTCTGAGCACAGCAAAGCTGGTTAACTACTGCTAACTATATGAATTAGCATTATATATGGGTAATAAATAGAAAAATATAGTTGGTAAGTTATGTCCAACCCATCATGTAAGTTGTATTTTAAAGAGTCACTACTTCTAGTGATTATTATCATTGATAATTCAGGCTTTTTTTATTTTCTTAATTGTATACAATATATGTAAAATTTTATACAGCATTAACTGATTAATATGAAATGATATTAAATATAACAATAAAAAAAACGTACAGCTTTAAGTTTCCACTCGGACTATATAGATGGTCGTACCGCTGAATGATTGTGTCACGGTAAAATCAGTCCGGGTAGAAGTGGGTTAAAGGTCCTTTAGACTGCAGTGACAGCAGCAGCAGCTCTCCGGAGGATCTCTCGGTGGAAAAGCAGAGAAGGTTAGAAGTTGTTTGGTTTCTACTGACCTGTTTTTCCTGTGTAGTATCGTGTCCCTATTTAGCTCACTAATATTTGTTTATTTTTGTTCCTCTGTCTTGCAGAGTGCGGGAAGCAAAAATGGCCAAACAACAGCAGCCGATCAGCCCGCTGAAGAACTTCTTCGCCGGAGGTTTCGGAGGGGTTTGCCTGGTTTTCGCCGGACATCCACTGGACACCATCAAGGTAAATATCGCTGAATGTTGTGTCTGGGTTTTCCTCTGCCCTGATCGGGGAAACAGTCAACAGAATGCATCCGGGTTCAGCTGACAATTTGAGTTTATAAAATACAGCCTGCAGTGTTAAGTGTGTTGTGTCACTGTTGCTGGATACCTTTGACCCAGATATAGGAAGTCACGTGATCACTGCAGCTCAGGTAAATAGCTCACCTTATTACCCCAATGATCAGAGAAACACCTAAATGAAGACTGAGACCTCAGACAGTCTCATTCATTTACTAACAAAGTGGTCATCCTACTTTTTAACTTCTTAGGGTGTCAGACTTCCTCTTAACATTTGAAAGTGGTCTTCATCAGTTCTACACACTTTGTGACTGTGTCTTCTTTGGATTTAGCTGCTTGATCATCTTTTAGTCTGATGGACCCCCCCCCCCCCAAAAAAAAAAAAAAAAAAGTATCTTGGGCTAATTAATGCACCTCATTCCTTTACAGAATGGAAACCGCAAAGACCAGACCTGACACAAGCATCGTTCTTCACCTTCACATTTCAGTGAATAGCTATTTCGACATCAAATCACTGTTGTCGTAACATTAATTGTTTCAAAGAATTAAAGTGAATGAAAACTGTGACACAGTTGCAAACGCACATAAGATCTCCTTAGCCTCAAAGTACGATACCCTCTCACCAGGCTCATATCTACATATTTCTGTTAATGCAATTAGTTTTATTATGTACCTCTGAATAAACAAAAGCTTTTTAACAGTTCTTTAGTAGGGCTGGGTATTTTGACCAAAGTCCTGAATCGTTTAGATTTCGATTCATACAGTTCTGAATGGATTCATTTCGATTCGATCTGTTTTTACAATAATGAAAGTGGTTCAGCTGTGTTTCAAAATACTTATGTATTTTATTTTTTCCTGTCATATTAAAAACAAAGTGCAAACTTGTAAATCAGACAGTTTTAACTGCAGATGTGAACAAAACTGTCTCATAAGTGCAAACTTGTTTGTGAAAAGTGAAAAAGTGAAGCCTCACTCGAGCAAGCAGTAGTGACACAGCAGACATTCATGAACTGCATTTAATTCACTGCACAAACCATATTTGCAGCGTTGTCTATAACAACTACAGGGTGTTTTCTGGTCAGCCCCCATTTGTTAATGTCTTCAATCAACCTATTGGCTATATTTGCAGCTGTCTGGCTTAAAGTCATCTTGAGTGCATTTTTCCTGCTCATTTGAACGTGAACATCACGCGGGTCACTATAAAACTATTCAATCTCATTCTCTAGACATCGATTTTGCAAAAATTTAAAGGAATCTATTAAAAATCGATTTTTTTTTCTTTCCTTTTTTTTTTTTTTTTACACAGCCCTATTCTTTAACAAGATGAACAGATCGAAGTCTTATCTAAAGATATAATTAAACCAATTCAATGCAACCTGATCATTTCATTGTACATCACACGTTAAATCCAGGTTATGTTAAGACATGTCAAACTTGGTTTATAATGTTAAGCATCTCAGTGAGCTTGGCTGATTTCATTCAGTTCCTTAAAGATGATTTAATAGAGAAGACGAATAACCCCTGGAAGAGCCTTCAGTTCTTCAAAGTTGGATTGCTTTTATCTCCAGAGCTGCCTTAATCCTCAATCCCATAGATTGTTGCTGCTGCTAAGACTCATCAGACCAGGCAATGTTTTTCCCAGACTTCCTATCTGGCCTTTTCTGTGCTGAGCTGAAAAAAGGCAGCATTTGCTCTGCTGCTGTACCTCATCTGCTTGAAGGTTCAACGTGCCGAGCATTCAGAGACAACCAATTTGATTGAAATAAGTGGCTTATTAAGCTACCGAAGCCTTTCAGTTATATTGAACCACAGAAGTAGACGCCACTCTTCTTCTGTGGCATAAACAGGCCTTTTCTGTCAATGTAATCTCTGCCAGTCACATATTTAATTTTGTGGACTGTTCCCTCTAAGCCTAGGGATAGATCAGCAGTCTGATCCAGTGTTCAGTGACTTTTTTTTTTTAATCTCCCCTATTCTCATGCTCACATCCAGATGGCCGTAAACGCAAGTAACTGGCTGTTTCACTGCTTGTGACGTACCTGATATAGTGGTTTGTGAATGTATTTTAATTGCATGCAAAATGCCATTTTTTGGTCAGTTTCTGCATATGTACAGAAAGGAGTGTATTCATGTTCTTCTCCAGATGCTCCCTGATGTCACTGCCTATCTGATTCCTCTAATGATCTTATCATTTCTGATAAGAATAAAACGTTGCTCTTTCCCTTCAGGTGCGCCTACAGACTCAACCAAAACCCAAACCTGGAGAGAGCCTTCTGTATGCTGGAACCATCGACTGTTTTAAAAAGACCTTGGCCAAAGAGGTGAGCAGACATCTTTCAGGAGTTCATCGTTATCTTTCCTCTCTTCTTACAATGATGTTTCTTACAGGGTGTAAAAGGACTGTATAGAGGGATGGCGGCCCCAATAATAGGAGTTACGCCCATGTTTGCTGTCTGTTTCTTTGGATTTGGACTCGGCAAGAAGCTACAGCAGAAGACACCTGATGATATCCTTACGTAGGTGACAGTTTACTCCAGGGGGTTGTCTTTATGCCTCGGCTTAGGACTTTTCCTCAGCTTTCTCTTCTGGTCTTCAGGTATCCACAGCTGTTTGCTGCTGGGATGTTATCAGGCATTTTCACCACAGCTATCATGGCTCCTGGAGAGCGCATCAAATGTCTCCTACAGGTTCGTTCCTGTTTTAAAAAACTCAATTTAAAATTTGAGCTAGATATGAGATTGCAGGAACTTGATTTGGATAGAAAATGTTTTCTTTTGTGTGTATGTTCAGATTCAGGCCTCAACTGGAGAGGTGAAGTATGCAGGGCCGATGGACTGCGTGAAACAGCTGTACAGAGAGGCTGGGATCAGAGGAGTCTACAAAGGAACAGCTTTGACTCTCATGAGAGGTTTGTCTTCACTTTGAGTTTGTACGGACGTTTATGAGCGGATTAAAGAAATGAAGGTAAATTGGTGAAAAGTTAAGCTAGCTAGAGATCTGAAACGGGGAGTGTCCTTCCTCTGCGGGCGAGGTCCTGAATCCTATCTCTGCTTATCTGCAAACACAGGCTTAACCGGCTCCTTTCTTTACTGGCTGGGAAGCTTGTTTTAGAAGATGAGAGAAGGAATCATCTGCCACATAGAAAAAGATCGATCTGTTTAGGTTTCTGCAGATGAACCAGTTGATGATCAGGGTTCCTTTTCTGTGTTGAACATTAGCATTATTGCATTAGTAACATCAAAGCTATTATTCAATTATTTATTATGTCCCACTTCACACCAGAGGTCATTTCTTTACAGAGTGCATTAAGTTTAACTGTACAGTCAGATTGGTTAAAGGTTTTATCTATGGCTACAACTAACGATTATTTTGTAAATCAATTAATCTGTCAATTATTTTTTCGATTAATCAATTAATAATCAGATAGTAAATGAATACTTGAAGTAAACTTTTTGCGAAATTTGACCAAGTGAAAATAAAACTTTTCCACTTCAGGAGTTCTGGATAGAGCATATTGACAGACCAAAAAGATTTTTATCTTAAATGCAAAATGTTGAGTTTTTTTATGTTGATAAAATAATAATAATGTAATAATGTTGATATACCGGTCTAAGTGGGTCGCTCTGTCAGCTAAAGGTACTTTTTAGAGTCTCTAAAGTCCATTTAACGATTAATCGATTACTAAATGAGTTGAAAATTATTTGAATAATCTATTTAATCCGATTAATTGTTTCAGCCCTAGTTTTATCTTATAAATGTTTTTACAGGAAGAAACCTCCAGCAAGAAGACAAACAGACACAGCAAAGGAACATAGAAGCATTGATATGTAAAAACTTTGTATGTTAGAGAAGCTGATAATTAACTAGCTCCATTGGGGGTTCTGTCTAGGAAAGCCTATAATGTTTCTGTCAGTGTAAAAATCCTCAGTGTGCAGTTTATCTTTGGACCGTTTGAGGCCTCTTATCTTTATCGGCCACTTTGAAGAAGAACAGCAACTACAACTGTAGAGTTTCATCGATTGCATAACTAATTTATTGGGAGTTGTTGGCAGAGATTCCAGCTGTTGCTATCATACAGATGTATCTCAATAAACTGGTAATCCAGTCATTTCATACACATAGTTAAACTCACTTATGTTGTAGATTCATTGCACAAAAAGTGATGTGTTTGAATAGTTCATTATTGTTTGTCTTGATTATAATAGCATAGAGCTTTGTGACTGCAGATGAAAATTAGCCTGTATGACTTAATGGCATATTGACATGTTAAACCCTGTGACTGAACGTGCATTGTCCCATTTCAAATAAAGGAAAGAAAGCAAGCTAATAAAAGTTCAGCTTAGTAAAATAGCTAAATATAATATTAGAACAGTTAAAAAGCAGGTTCATATCAGGCTCCAAATCAATCATAGGGAAGAATCCTAGTGATGTACAATAGTCCAACAAACAATGATTTCCTACCCCTAGGAGGGTTGGTCAGAAAGATCATTGCTAAAGGATTGTCAGTTCTGCTGACTTTATGCAGCTTTTAATGGGAAATTAAGTGGAAGGGGAACGTGTTGGAAAAGGTGTGCGATGTGGACTGCATGCATGAATATAAAACTAAACAACATGGCTGCATTGCATGGAAGAGCGCGGTCTGTGGCTCTGCAGAAGTATTCAGAACACCAAGTTGCTTTAGTACCAACCCTCTGTTTTTCTGCATAGTTGGTGTCTCTTATCTTCCTCCATAGATTACCTGTGTGGGATAGATGAGGCCATTTCTACGTCCATTGGAAAACCGCAACATGATGGTCACTAAACCAAGTGGTACCTTGATCAGTGTAGATCAGCTGCAAAGTCCTGCTAGAAAATTTTATCAGCATGTAAAATAAAGCCTCAGTTTCCGATCCGTCAGAAAATCATGTTGGACGAGGTCATGGCGTTTGCCGCTCCTTGAAAGTCAATGGAAATGATCACACTTGACTGACTCCAATTTCTGAGAAACTTAATTTTGAGTTCATGCAATTTGTAACCATAAACATCAACAATAAATGCTTTACATGAGTCGCTGTAATTTGTCTGTGTAAAATGACTTTCACTTTTTGAATTGATTTGGGTTTTTGTTTCTCATTAGATGTTCCAGCGAGTGGAATGTACTTCATGTCTTATGAGTGGCTGAAGAACCTCCTCACACCAGCAGGAAAAAGGTGAGGATTTCCTGATTCCTGGTTTTCATGTCGCTAATTGTCCTCTGATTATAATGACATGGCATCTTCCCTCCGCAGCCCCAGCGAGCTCAGCATTCCCAGCGTGCTGTTTGCTGGAGGAATGGCCGGCATCTTCAACTGGGCCGTTGCAATCCCACCCGACGTTCTCAAGTCCCGCTTCCAAACAGGTTTGTTGTCTAAAACATGATGTAAAGCCACCCTTTTCCAGGAGAAACATTTTCTCGTGGGGGAATGACTTAGTCAAACGGGATCAGTAGAAGGCTTCAGTGGAATTTTCCCTCTTTTTTTTTTTTTTTTTTTTTTNCTTTTTTTTTTTTTTTTACACAGCCCTATTCTTTAACAAGATGAACAGATCGAAGTCTTATCTAAAGATATAATTAAACCAATTCAATGCAACCTGATCATTTCATTGTACATCACACGTTAAATCCAGGTTATGTTAAGACATGTCAAACTTGGTTTATAATGTTAAGCATCTCAGTGAGCTTGGCTGATTTCATTCAGTTCCTTAAAGATGATTTAATAGAGAAGACGAATAACCCCTGGAAGAGCCTTCAGTTCTTCAAAGTTGGATTGCTTTTATCTCCAGAGCTGCCTTAATCCTCAATCCCATAGATTGTTGCTGCTGCTAAGACTCATCAGACCAGGCAATGTTTTTCCCAGACTTCCTATTTGGCCTTTTCTGTGCTGAGCTGAATTAGGCAGCATTTGCTCTGCTGCTGTACCTCATCTGCTTGAAGGTTCAACGAGCCGAGCATTCAGAGACAACCAATTTGATTGAAATAAGTGGCTTATTAAGCTACCGAAGCCTTTCAGTTATATTGAACCACAGAAGTAGACGCCACTCTTCTTCTGTGGCATAAACAGGCCTTTTCTGTCAATGTAATCTCTGCCAGTCACATATTTAATTTTGTGGAACGTTCCCTCTAAACCTTGGGATAGATCAGCTGTCTGATCCAGTGTTCAGTGACTTTTTTTTTTTAATCTCCCCTATTCTCATGCTCACATCCAGATGGCCGTAAACGCAAGTAACTGGCTGTTTGACTGCTTGTGACGTACCTGATAAAGTGGTTTGTGAATGTATTTTAATTGCATGCAAAATGCCATTTTTTGGTCAGTTTCTGCATATGTACAGAAAGGAGTGTATTCATGTTCTTCTCCAGATGCTCCCTGATGTCACTGCCTATCTGATTCCTCTAATGATCTTATCATTTCTGATAAGAATAAAACGTTGCTCTTTCCCTTCAGGTGCGCCTACAGACTCAACCAAAACCCAAACCTGGAGAGAGCCTTCTGTATGCTGGAACCATCGACTGTTTTAAAAAGACCTTGGCCAAAGAGGTGAGCAGACATCTTTCAGGAGTTCATCGTTATCTTTCCTCTCTTCTTACAATGATGTTTCTTACAGGGTGTAAAAGGACTGTATAGAGGGATGGCGGCCCCAATAATAGGAGTTACGCCCATGTTTGCTGTCTGTTTCTTTGGATTTGGACTCGGCAAGAAGCTACAGCAGAAGACACCTGATGATATCCTTACGTAGGTGACAGTTTACTCCAGGGGGTTGTCTTTATGCCTCGGCTTAGGACTTTTCCTCAGCTTTCTCTTCTGGTCTTCAGGTATCCACAGCTGTTTGCTGCTGGGATGTTATCAGGCATTTTCACCACAGCTATCATGGCTCCTGGAGAGCGCATCAAATGTCTCCTACAGGTTCGTTCCTGTTTTAAAAAACTCAATTTAAAATTTGAGCTAGATATGAGATTGCAGGAACTTGATTTGGATAGAAAATGTTTTCTTTTGTGTGTATGTTCAGATTCAGGCCTCAACTGGAGAGGTGAAGTATGCAGGGCCGATGGACTGCGTGAAACAGCTGTACAGAGAGGCTGGGATCAGAGGAGTCTACAAAGGAACAGCTTTGACTCTCATGAGAGGTTTGTCTTCACTTTGAGTTTGTACGGACGTTTATGAGCGGATTAAAGAAATGAAGGTAAATTGGTGAAAAGTTAAGCTAGCTAGAGATCTGAAACGGGGAGTGTCCTTCCTCTGCGGGCGAGGTCCTGAATCCTATCTCTGCTTATCTGCAAACACAGGCTTAACCGGCTCCTTTCTTTACTGGCTGGGAAGCTTGTTTTAGAAGATGAGAGAAGGAATCATCTGCCACATAGAAAAAGATCGATCTGTTTAGGTTTCTGCAGATGAACCAGATGATGATCAGGGTTCCTTTTCTGTGTTGAACATTAGCATTATTGCATTAGTAACATCAAAGCTATTATTCAATTATTTATTATGTCCCACTTCACACCAGAGGTCATTTCTTTACAGAGTGCATTAAGTTTAACTGTACAGTCAGATTGGTTAAAGGTTTTATCTATGGCTACAACTAACGATTATTTTGTAAATCAATTAATCTGTCAATTATTTTTTCGATTAATCAATTAATAATCAGATAGTAAATGAATACTTGAAGTAAACTTTTTGCGAAATTTGACCAAGTGAAAATAAAACTTTTCCACTTCAGGAGTTCTGGATAGAGCATATTGACAGACCAAAAAGATTTTTATCTTAAATGCAAAATGTTGAGTTTTTTTATGTTGATAAAATAATAATAATGTAATAATGTTGATATACCGGTCTAAGTGGGTCGCTCTGTCAGCTAAAGGTACTTTTTAGAGTCTCTAAAGTCCATTTAACGATTAATCGATTACTAAATGAGTTGAAAATTATTTGAATAATCTATTTAATCCGATTAATTGTTTCAGCCCTAGTTTTATCTTATAAATGTTTTTACAGGAAGAAACCTCCAGCAAGAAGACAAACAGACACAGCAAAGGAACATAGAAGCATTGATATGTAAAAACTTTGTATGTTAGAGAAGCTGATAATTAACTAGCTCCATTGGGGGTTCTGTCTAGGAAAGCCTATAATGTTTCTGTCAGTGTAAAAATCCTCAGTGTGCAGTTTATCTTTGGACCGTTTGAGGCCTCTTATCTTTATCGGCCACTTTGAAGAAGAACAGCAACTACAACTGTAGAGTTTCATCGATTGCATAACTAATTTATTGGGAGTTGTTGGCAGAGATTCCAGCTGTTGCTATCATACAGATGTATCTCAATAAACTGGTAATCCAGTCATTTCATACACATGGTTAAACTCACTTATGTTGTAGATTCATTGCACAAAAAGTGATGTGTTTGAATAGTTCATTATTGTTTGTCTTGATTATAATAGCATAGAGCTTTGTGACTGCAGATGAAAATTAGCCTGTATGACTTAATGGCATATTGACATGTTAAACCCTGTGACTGAACGTGCATTGTCCCATTTCAAATAAAGGAAAGAAAGCAAGCTAATAAAAGTTCAGCTTAGTAAAATAGCTAAATATAATATTAGAACAGTTAAAAAGCAGGTTCATATCAGGCTCCAAATCAATCATAGGGAAGAATCCTAGTGATGTACAATAGTCCAACAAACAATGATTTCCTACCCCTAGGAGGGTTGGTCAGAAAGATCCTTCCTAAAGGACAGTCAGTTCTGCTGACTTTATGCAGCTTTTAATGGGAAATTAAGTGGAAGGGGAACGTGTTGGAAAAGGTGTGCGATGTGGACTGCATGCATGAATATAAAACTAAACAACATGGCTGCATTGCATGGAAGAGCGCGGTCTGTGGCTCTGCAGAAGTATTCAGAACACCAAGTTGCTTTAGTACCAACCCTCTGTTTTTCTGCATAGTTGGTGTCTCTTATCTTCCTCCATAGATTACCTGTGTGGGATAGATGAGGCCATTTCTACGTCCATTGGAAAACCGCAACATGATGGTCACTAAACCAAGTGGTACCTTGATCAGTGTAGATCAGCTGCAAAGTCCTGCTAGAAAATTTTATCAGCATGTAAAATAAAGCCTCAGTTTCCGATCCGTCAGAAAATCATGTTGGACGAGGTCATGGCGTTTGCCGCTCCTTGAAAGTCAATGGAAATGATCACACTTGACTGACTCCAATTTCTGAGAAACTTAATTTTGAGTTCATGCAATTTGTAACCATAAACATCAACAATAAATGCTTTACATGAGTCGCTGTAATTTGTCTGTGTAAAATTACTTTCACTTTTTGAATTGATTTGGGTTTTTGTTTCTCATTAGATGTTCCAGCGAGTGGAATGTACTTCATGTCTTATGAGTGGCTGAAGAACCTCCTCACACCAGCAGGAAAAAGGTGAGGATTTCCTGATTCCTGGTTTTCATGTCGCTAATTGTCCTCTGATTATAATGACATGGCATCTTCCCTCCGCAGCCCCAGCGAGCTCAGCATTCCCAGCGTGCTGTTTGCTGGAGGAATGGCCGGCATCTTCAACTGGGCCGTTGCAATCCCACCCGACGTTCTCAAGTCCCGCTTCCAAACAGGTTTGTTGTCTAAAACATGATGTAAAGCCACCCTTTTCCAGGAGAAACATTTTCTCGTGGGGGATTGACTTACACAGTCAAATAGGATCAGTAGAAGGCTTCTGTGGAATGTTCCCTCTTTTTTTTTATCTGTTTAAGTTTTTAAAAAAAAATTATAAATGATGACTTTTATTGCACTTTTAACTGTACCTATGCATTATTTGTATTTTATTTTTTGTTTATTTTGAACTTTAGCAAATTTATAAGAAATGTGAGCAATGCTCCTTGTTTGCTCCTCTTAGCTTTATATCAACAGCTGGACAACTGAAGGTTGAATTTAATCCGGTGTCCCAACAGGACAGATGTCACAGATGCATCTAAATCAATCAGTCTACAGCGTTTCTAAATATTTTTTCCACTCATTCTCTTGGTTAATGTTCCCTGTTGTCTTTTATTTCCACTTCTGTGTGTAAAAGCTGCCTGTCAGGATTCTAACATGCCGTCATCCTGAACCTCGTTTTTTTCCTCTGCCTGTCAGCTCCTGAAGGAAAGTATCCCAACGGTTTTCGAGACGTTCTGCGGGAGCTGATCCGGGAGGAGGGCATCACCTCTCTGTACAAAGGCTTCAACGCCGTCATGCTTAGAGCTTTTCCTGCGAATGCGGTGAGTGTCCATCATTTGTTCCTCAGCTCAGTGATGAGAGGGAGGTGAACACCTGTAGATGAGGCAGATATGATCATGTAAGCAGTTTGGTCATTTACATATCGGCTAATAAGGTCGATGTGTCTCAAAGGTGCATTTAATCCAAATTTGGTTTGTAGGACCCATAAGCATTAAGAGGCTTAGCATTTCACAATGTGTTTTTAAAAAAAAGTAAAACACATTATTATGCATATTTCCCAAGGGAAAACTGATCTTGATATTACATATAAACACATTTGTTAGTTACAGATGCCGGCCGTTTTGCTCCCTTTACAGTTAATATCTTTGAGCAAGTAAAAAGCTGCGAGTTATATATGTCAGTATTTTCAAAAAAGCTGAAGCAGTTCTTTAAGTCTTAGATGATGCTTCTGCATTAAATAAAATAATTTCTAAAGTTTTTTTAGATGTGAGCAGTGATTTTAGTTAATTAAATGTAACGGATTATTGTTGTCAGATGTTAGTTGTTCTAATCAAGCTGTGTCTTCATTCTCGTTTGCAGGCCTGCTTCTTAGGATTTGAACTGGCCATGAAGTTTCTGAACTGGTTAGCTCCGAACCTGTGACATAGCCTCGAAGCAGTGCCGTCTGGAGAATACCAGGAATAATAGCTCCTTTATACAGGGAGAATCATGTGAAATGAAGAGATTTTTATCAGTTTTCCACAAATATACTTGATTGTTTTTGTTGGAACAGTAGAGGGGTGGTGCAGCGCTGCTGAGAGCTCAGAGATGCTGGGGGGGATTCTGTAACGATGCCACCTCACACACAAACACAAAGACAGTCCGAATGTTCTCGCTCCTTATAGACTTTATTCTTTTATTTTTGGAGTTTGTTTTTTTTTTTACTAGAAAAGGAGTGAAACGAACATGTGGTGCCTTACCTTTTAACTGCTAACAGAGGAACATTTCAGGTGCATTTTAAGTCTTTGTGAGCAGCCGGCTCCTTCAAACTGTCCTCCTGGAAACGTCTCTCTCACTCAGTGAAAACCTCACACCGTCTGTCTAATTTGTAAATGTTAAGGCAACGTGAATGATTTAATGATGTTATGTAAATGTCAGCATGAAAATTTAAAACCGATTCATCTTTAACATCTATTGTGTTGCTGTTTTTTTTGTGTTATTTTTCTTATATACACTTCTCTCCTTCTTTGCAAACAGGGAGATTTACAGTAAAAAAAAAAAATCACCTCTCCAGCCTTTATTAGATGGACTCTCTCCATGACTACATGAGTATAGTAAATGCAAAATATGTTTAAAAAAAAAAGTAAAATACTTCTATTGAAGCAGAGTAATACTTACAAAAAAGTCTAATAAAAGAAACCAGGGTAATAGCTTTTACAGATTTTCTACAGGGGTTTTATAAGTAACAAATTCAATGATTCATAATCTTATTTAGGCTCCACAGACTCCAAAATGTTCCCATTTTTTTCCAGGCATTAGTACAATGCTTCACACACAACTCTAATTCCCAAACGAGTCAAATGGGATGATTAATTGGGTGGACGTGGTGTGGACAGTCGCACATAATTATAAACAGCTGCATCTTCCTTCCAGTCCAGGATCTATCTACCCCTCTGAGAAACAACAGGCTTTATTTAGAAGGTGCCGACTGACAGGTCGGATGTTAAACAGTCACTCTGAAGGCCCCACCGCTATGTTGCTCAGTTATATAAAGTTCCCTGGAAAGGTGTTTAAGTAGATACACATTAATGGAAGCAGTTAGGCCTGCACTCAGCCATGGCTGTGTGATGCACTTGAATGTTACTTCCCCTGTCACCCTGAATTTGCTTAAGGCATGGCTGGACAGGACAGGGCCATATTCCATTCTAGGATTTAAAGAGGTCTGTTTAAAAGGGTTTAAAAAAAATAATTCAATAATAACACAGAATCTTTATTCTGCAACCAATGAATGATTCAGGTCCTTCATATGCTTCACAAAGCTGGACATGATTTATCCAACCTTACACTGACTGAGGTGTTTCCATGATGTAACAGAAATACTTATGAACTGTGATATATTTTGAAATTGCCACCACATCATGTTGAGTTTAAAAAAGAATTCGAAATCCCGGGTCCCTTCTGCTGAAATGCTATCATACCCAGAGGTTCACTCAGACCAGTAGTAAGGGGGAGCATCGTCATCTGCCAGATGTTAGGGACTTTGATTAGGCTAACAGGATTTTAAAATCTTTGAATAATTTACTGAAATGTTTTAATATGCGTTTCATACCTTCTATTTTTAATAGACACCTTCTAGAACAACTAGAGGACATCAATGAGTTTAGCAGCCAGATGTCCATTTTGGCCACTGACCAGGGGGGCTACCCTCTCTAGGTCTATGTTATTTTTGGGTATAACTAAAAAAAATTAAGCTTTACAGGCAGACTTAAAAGTGCTAATATTTTCTAAAATGTTTAACCTTTATTGAATAAAAAATTATTGAGCGTTATCAGGAACTTATCACACAGTTAACCCAAGATTAGCATTATTGGACCTGGTAAACAGCTGGGAATTAAATTCAATTCAGGTGATTTCTATAGCACCAAGTCACTACATGTGTCATCTCATGGCAATTTACAGAGACAATTCAATAGATCATACAGTCAGATTGGATTAAAGTTTTCTAGCTAAGGAAAACCAGCTGATTGCTGTGTGGAAGGAAAGCAGACGAGATCTATTTAGTGGCTGGCAGGACTTAAACTTGTAGCTTTTACCTTTAAGGCCAAGGAGTTAAATATCCTGATTTTCAGACTCCAATAATGGAGTGCTTAATTGATTTTTTCACACTGTTATTTTGAAAGGTAATGTGTGTAGTAGTTCTAGTATTCTAGGGACCACATTTCTCTTTATTCGATCAATCCTTCCTAAAGTACCCATGACAAAGAAAGATCACCTTCTAAGATGTCGTTTAACTTGTGCGAGTCTCTTAAACTTATGCAGCTCTTTGATATTTGCTGATGTCCAGGTAAGTAAGATAAGGTTAAGGCATATGCAAGTTTATTTGTATATCACAATTTCACAAAAAGGCAATTTGTGTGCTTTACATGAATTGAATAGTAAAATGCAAGGAAAATAAAAGCAGAATAAAAGCAATTACAGATAAAAACACGATAGTAAAGTAAATGAAACAGTTGGATCACAAACTTTAATTATACCTCAGTAAACAGTTTTACCAGTCAAAGGAGGCTCTAAACAAATGGGTTTTTAATTTTGACTTAAAAGTGAAGCCAAAATGTTGCCACATGAAAAGAAAATTACTCATTTTTAAAATTACTTTTGTAACCTGGAATTCTACCAAACTAAGACCAATAATTGACAAACGGATGGTAATAGACTCTCTCGGTCAGTAATAAAAAACAAATCTTCATCCGCATAAAGCCAACATTAAATGTTAATTGTCTCCCAGTAAAACACTGGCCGTTATTTGATGGCTTCCAATAGTTTTACTAATGGTTTCAATTTCAGCACAAAAAACAATGGTGAGCGTTATAAGCATCCTCCTGTTTACTGCTATTCAAGGCAAAAGAGCTGGACAGAGAGGTATTTACAGGAAGTCTATCAATAGGGGATCTGCACAGAAATTCAGTCCATTTAATGAAAATTGGGCCTGAACCAAAACTAGTGAGAAATTAGATTTATCTTCATATGTCAGATTACCAGTTAAAATTCTTCTTTGCCAAAACATCAACTTCAGACATATAATCCATTGGATGGCCTTTAATTACAGATGATGTGGGCAGTGCTGGTCAATAGTTCTCGGCAGGCTGTGCTAAATAAAGAAATCAATAAAAAGCAGAGATTTAGAGGATGGGGAGCAGTCTGTGTGCTCCGTGCTGATGGTGAAACTGATAAAACCGACATGTTCCAGGCTTTTAGGTTGGGCTATGTCATGAGATGAACTTGTAGAAATAGCTTTTTTGTTCCAGTCAGCCTCAGACCATCCGATCCTCTCCAACAATGAGTAATATAGAGATCCCAGCTGGTTTGAAGGAGCTGCTGCAGGGCTACACGGTGGAGGTTCTCCGTCACAGGCCTGCTAACTTGTTGGAGTTTGCTGTGCAGCATTTCACACGAATCCTGGAGAATCAAAGGAACGAGCAGCAAGCCAAGAAGCACAACAGCAATCCCTCAGGGAAGGATGTCACTTTTGAAACGGTGTCAAACAACTCAAAGGAAAACGATGAAGAAGAGGAGGTGAAAGAGGCTCCCAGTGAGTGTTAAGTCGTAATCAAATAGGCTGTGACTGTGTAAAAAAGTTGGAAATTTAAAACGTTAATCTCTTGCCTTCTTTCAGAGTCCAGGAGCAGTAGGAGTCGCAGGGTCGCAGGTCAGTGAATAGCAAAAATGTTTGATTGATATAAATGAATTTTAACAATCCACATTTGATTTATTTTTTTTATTAACCTTTAGTGCTGAAGCAACAGCCTAAAACTGTGTATTTTGGAGTTAATTAAATTTTTTTTAAGTCTTTCCAAAATCTCTATTCACAATTTACACCTGTTAATACATTATAAATTGGTTACTTATTTTTTTAATTGTCCTACAACCCACTTATAATGTCACTTTTAATTGTTTTCCACTCAGTGATGTTTTTACTAACTGAAAAACTAGCATTTTATATGTAAAACTGTATATTTCATATGGGATCTATATACTAGACTTTGAAGAGATAAGATATAAAGATTAAATCCATTTGAAACTGCTATAAGTGGCAAATCTTTAATCTTTTATAAAAGAAATGGAAAAATGTGTTTGTGTATAATATTTCTTGGGTAAAGATGTTTTTGAAAATTACTTTGCATAAAAAATTCTTGTCACTGATATTTTACTCTCCCAGACAACATTAATACCTTCCAAAATACAAATTAGCCCCAAAATATTTGTCTCTTTATCCTGGACAAAAATGTATTTCTGCAATTAGTAATAGATCTCATGGAATAATAAAATGATATTTAATATGCATTTGTCTTCTTTTTCCCTCCTGTCACTTATTGTTTATGCTGGTTGCATCTGGGATCAAAGTAGACATGTTTCATTTCTAAAATATGAATCCATGTAATATGACCTTGTATGAATTTTTATTTTTATTTTGACGTAAAGGTCAAAAAAGGCTTTTTTTTAACAAAAAGGAGCACAAAATGAATGTTACAATAACAGCTCTGCTCTGCCTCAGTTTGTGCAGAGGCTTATGACCCTGACGATGAATCAGATGATAACAGTCAGCCTCAGGTTGTGAATCCCAAAACAGACGAGCAGCGTCGACGGCTTCAGGATGCATGCAAAGATATTCTGCTGTTTAAGACTCTGGAAAAGGTAAAAAACAGTTGAAATCTACATCTACATGAGGTATAAAACTTGTATGATGTACATGATGATGATGACTGACCTGTGGATTCACACACACGCATTAGGCAGAACAGAATGTAATTAAGCTGTTGTTTAAACAGTTTATCATGAAACCTCCCTTAGCAGCATGCATTCTGCAAATTACCACAATGTTTTTATTGAACACTAAAGATGCATAGGCAAAACCAATATAACGCAGAGGTTCAAATGTGACTTTTTTTCTCTTAAACATCACAAATAACATTAGCTCAGTGTGAAGAAAATCTAAAGTCTGTTCTTCAAATATTTGGGACAGATCAACATATTAGAGTCTTGGCTCTAATCTTTCTTCTTGCTCAATGATAAATAATCGGTAATATATCTTTACAAATTTGTATTATCTGCAAGAATGACTAAAAAAAAGGTCACTCCAAAACATGCTAAAATGAACATCATTGAACTCACAATGGAGAAATCCATATATAGCATTTAAAAATAAAGAGGAATATGAAATCTATTAGGCACCGTCTTTATTTCATCAAACACTTTTTGTGCTTGAAAATAAAACTCAAAGGAATTTGTTGCCTATTTTCACACAGGAACAGTTTTCTGAGGTTCTGGACGCCATGTTTGAGGTTCAGGTCAAACCTCAAGACCACATCATCGACCAGGGAGACGATGGGGATAACTTCTACGTCATAGACAAGTAGATTACAGTTTTAAAAACCCAGCATATGTTTAATTAGAATACATCTGTGTTTGGCGTTAAAATGATTAATGTTCTGTCATTTTAGAGGTGTGTATGATATCTTTGTGGCAAAGGATGGAGTGAGTGTGTGTGTGGGAAAGTATAACAACAAGGGCAGCTTTGGGGAACTAGCCCTTATGTATAACACGCCGCGAGCTGCCACGATCGTAGCAACAGAGGAGGGCACTCTATGGGGCCTGGTGAGTGAACTACACTGCTTTTGATTTGTTTTTGCTTTTTTGGTTTCTTTTTGCTAATCTAAACCAACCAGAAGGTCCTTTTGTGTCCTGTCAGGATCGGGCCACATTTCACCGACTGATTGTGAAAAACAACGCAAAGAAGAGGAGGCTGTATGAGGCCTTCATAGAGTGTGTGCCTCTTCTCAACTGTCTTGAGGTTTGTTATTTAGAAACAGGCCTTATGCAAACAAATGCACCACAAAGATGCACTAACATCATCAGACGTTTTCCTCTGCTCTAGCTCTCTGAGAGGATGAAGATAGTTGATGTTTTAGGAGTACGAACATTTAATGATGGCGATCGCATTATAGCACAGGTAAGCAGCTTTAAATCTGTCACTTTTAGATAATTTTTATGTTTTTATATTAATTACAGAATAGTGTCTGTCGCTGCAGGGTGACAGAGCTGAATGTTTCTACATTGTGGAAACAGGGGAGGTGAAGATACTGATCAAAACCAAAGTAAATTTAGTGTAATAATCATATCATGAACATACTGTTTTTTTCCCCCAGTCTCCTAATTACAAACCGATCTGCCCTCTGACCAGTTTTTTTCTCCTCTTTCTGCTGCAGACAAAGGTGAACCAGCAGGATAACACAGAGGTGGAAGTGGCTCGTTGCTCCAGAGGGCAGTATTTTGGAGAGCTGGCGTTGGTCAACAATAAACCCCGTGCAGCCTCTGTCTACGCCGTTGGAGAGACCAAATGTTTAGGTTTGTTGAACTCCTACCATTTTCATAATTTGCCAGGAACCCTGAGTAGTTAAAACTTGTAACCTTTTTTTTAAGTGAACAATCTGGATAATCAGCAATAATCGGTGTCTATAAGATTTACTTTGAGCAAAAATAGTTATATATTTTATATATCAGCTTATTATATTTAGATGTTTCCTAATCTCTCAATAGATGCTTGCATTGTTTTGTATCTTTAATAAACTGACAGAGGTAAGAAGCCTTTGTCATTTGTTTTTGTCCATATTAAAGGTGACAACTATAAGTTTAACTCCTCCCAGCCACTAGGTGGTGAAATTTTCTACTCTGTTTTACCGGCATTTTTCAGGTCTGCTAATGCTAATGCTTACCTGTCTAGAAGAACAGCTTGTTGTTCATGTAACCACATCCTCTTTGCTTCCTTAATTTGGAAACATTTATTAAAATATTTTGTAATCTTGACCCTAATTCAGCTTCTATTTTTTTTATATAAACTATATATTTTTTCAATAAAGTTTATACTTTTATTCTGCACTACTCTAAACCTTCTGTTGGATAATATATTATTTTCAAAATGAAGGGTTTTGATGAACGGTTGTAGCTTCAACCTTTAATTCGTATAGTCCTCTAAGTATATTTTAAACCTTAAATTTACTACACAGTGTGTGTCATTTGGATAAGGATTAGCAACTTTACTTGTCAAGGCAAATTGACAAGTAAAGCCACACTATGGCAGCCCACTGCTCCCAAAGGGTTAAATGCAGAGGAAAATTATCCCATGTGAGATAAATAAAATTCAAATATATAAATATATAATTATAAATATTATCCAAGGGTATCTAAAAAAGCTGTCTGCGCCACCTCAGCTGACTCCTCTCGATGAAGCAGCTCTACTCCAAGCCTCTCCTGTATGACCGAGCACCTCATCCTATCTCAGAGGGAGTGTCAAGCCACCCTGCTTAAAAAGCTAATTTCAGCCATTTGTATCTCTGGATCGCATTCTTCATGACCATTGGTGAGGGTAGGAATGCAGACCAACCAGTAAATTGTGAGCTTTGCCGTTTCAACCAGCTCTCTTTCTGCATTATAGCAACAGCTGTGTCGATCCGTCTATAGATTTCCTGCTCCATTCGCCCTTAGCTCTAAGACCACAGGATAAATGAGCGCCTCCACTTGAGGCAGGAACTGTCCTCCAACCTGAAGGGGACAAGCCTCCTTTATCCATCTGAGAACCATTGCCTCGGACCTGGAAGACCTGATTCTGGTCCCGTCCCCATCGTACTTGGCTGTTATCCTCTCCAGTGCCTGCTGTAGGTCTTGGCATAAGGGAACAGGTGGGAGGAAGCCAGAGTACCCGGTGAGAACCCATGCATGCTTAGGGAGAACATGCAAACTCCATGCAGAAAGACCCCGGGCCGGGAATCAACCTTCTTGCTGCAAGGCAGCTGTGCTACCCACTGCCCCACTGAGCAGCCATCACCTAGCAAACAATTGAAGCGATATACTCAGGATGAATTTTGTGGATACTAGGTAGCAACTAGTATCCAGCTCAACCCAGACACCAATTGCAACTCTACATAAGGTGAAAAAAGTAAAAAAAAGTTAAAAAAAAAACATGTCAAGCATGAGAGCGCGCTACGAGAACGAACAGAAGATTTATGCAGTTCTGCGTTTTTGCCACAGGTAGCAGTATCATTAGAAAATTCTGTCATGCCTCTTTAATGCCAGCAATGCTGACCAAAGTCCTGCTCTGTTTCTACAGAGACCAGATAGCCCCTAGTCAAGAGAACCCTCCTCCAAAAAGGGCACTACAAGGGACACTGTCCTCTCACTGAAAGTTAAGCAGCTGTTTGAAGTATTGAATCAGGACAGCTGAATACAAATAAAACCCATCCAATTTTTACCTATAATTGTATTTTAAATCACATTGTGATGGTTTATCATTAATGGGTTTTAATCTCCCAAAGGCAATTTTGATTGAATCTGCGATTATTCTTGTGTTTGCATTTCATCTCTGACAGCGACCCTTTTTGTTCATCAGTCACAGAGCATATGTTGAAACTGAACTTCATCCATTAAACTGGGAGGGGCAAACATCCTACTGTCCGAAAAATCAATGTGTTTTAACACCCAGCAAGGTCAAAATCTAGCACAGAGACTCCTGTGTGTCCAGACTGAACAATTTTACAGCAATGCAGGAATTCCTTTGGCTACTTGTCTCAAAAACAGGGAAGCAAAGAAAAAGAAAAAACTTCTTACACTGGTCCAGCTAAAGAGGGTTATGAAAATATATCGAGAGAAATTTTGTCACTGGGATGAACCTGTATTAACTAAATTAACAAAGCAGTAATAAATGGAAGTTCAGTCATTTCTGTCACTCATTTTAGGTCACTCATTTTATTTCACAGTAAAATATTCTAAAAATACTTTAGAGGCTCAGAAAATGAGAATATTAAGCATGATTAATAAAAAAGGTATTTTGAAGAGAGATAGGCCTTCTTTCACATTAATTACTACATCAAGGCGCTTAGCATGGAGGTTATCAGCCTGTGGATGACTGTGTGTACTGAACTTAAGAAATGCAGTTGACCAAAACCAGAACATGACAGCAACTCAAATCCACCCTAACTACAAAAAGTTTAGACAAGAAGGAACATGACGTTTCTAGCTGACGCGTAGGATTCGCACATGGCTATATGTACTCTGACTCTAGCCTCACTCCTCAACACTCCTCTAAAGGCTTATTTTTTTCCCTTTAACATATTTTTAATCACGTTTTTTTCTTCCACTCAACCTTCCATGAATATGCTTGGATACAACACTCTGTAGGCAACAAGTTTCATTACATAGGACCCTTCTTTATTTCCTATACCGGAGTAGAGACTATTAATGACCAGATTCCAGCCAGCAGTTGTCTCTATGATTGTGCAGCCTACTGACCCAGACTGAGAGACCACTGAGACGCTGAGGAAACCTCTGTGTTGTTAGTTAATTAGCAGATTAGTTTGTGAGATGATTTTTCGTTCACAAGCATCAAAAGGAAAAAAAGGCTTTGTAATTAAACTTGTATTTGATTTTCCCTTTCTTATTAATTAAAAATAACAATTGAAGTTTGTGATGCAATTTAAAATATTGGAAAGATGTTCTCATTTAACTCGTCATTTTATGTATTTGTTTTTGGTAACAGCTTATAAAGTTGTCAATCACACAAATATCTAAAGATGAATCCCATTTTGCTTTCAGTGATTGACATCCAGGCGTTTGAGCGCCTTTTGGGGCCCTGCATGGACATCATGAAGAGGAACATCTCCCAGTACGAGGACCAGCTGGTGGCACTGTTTGGCTCCAGTGATGATTTAAAACTCTAGTATGCTGCACTTAAACCAGCATGTTAATAAGAACATGTTTCTCATCCTTTTGAGGTGCTTTTAACACACAAACCATTTGCCTATTATACTGACGTTTAGAAAGTGTGGTGTCTGATGCCCTCATTCAAAATACAAATATGAATCCAAGCTTTAGATCATTACAAAAATGACAAAGGCCTGACCATCTGTCTGAACATTACATTATAATAATCTGGATTTTATCTTAATTTTAACATTTGTTATTTTTTCTCGAATGTTTTTAATAGGAATCATCTTGTTCATGTATGTTCTGAAATAATTTCCCTTGTTTTGTTCACATTCAGCTTTTACAATTTACATTTATTAATGTACATATACTACACACACATATATATTTTTTGGTGTGGGTGTGTGTGTAAATACTATGATACTATGATTTTTATTTAAGGTCATTGCTGTCTTTCAACACATCCAAGAGGTCCCTAGTCCTGTCATGGAGTTACTTTGCCTCAACTCTTAGATGCATTTCTTCACAAAAATAATGATCTCAAATGAAAACATGTTAGTGGGTCACTGTAGAGTTGAATGAACTGCTGATGGATGAATTCACCTACTGGATTCAGGTCTGCAGGTGCAGGGAGGCATTTTAATGCTGGGGGGCCATAGTTCTCAATGTACAGTGTTTCCCAACCTTTTTTGACTTGTGTTCCCCTTTAGGCCTTTTGTTTTAGTACCCCTCTCAGTCAAAAGTATTCATGATTGTCCAAAAGTGAAACATACGATTACTGATTAAAAAATAAAAACTATTTTACTTAATCTTTTAATCTGAGTATTTAATTCTTCGGCATGTTATGCTTTCCATCTAAAAATAAATAAATAAATAAATAAATAAATAAATATGATGCTTGAAAGTTATTAAGGAATCAAAATAAATCCTAAATAAAATCATACTATAAACCTGTATTTATAAAACTGGGGCTCCCTTTACTCACATTTAAACGTGATGAATTGAGAACAAAATACAGAACAAAAATCATAGTCAGACTTTGTCTTCATCAAGAGAGCTGAGCTGCTTTGATGAGCTCTGATGAGGTCCAGAAAAACAGCTGATACCAGATTGTTCTCTAGTCTGTTCCAAAAAAAAATTAAAAGCAATCCACTGGACTTTGTTTCCAAGTTTGAAGACGTTTCGCTTCCCATCCAGGAAGCTTTTTCAATTCAAAATGTCAAAAATAGCGTTGACTTCGAGGCTTTATACAGTAGCCCAGCAAAGCCTTGTTTTTGTTTCGAAAACAGGCAAATTAAAACGGATGAACGGGTCCACTCTTTGGGAAAGAGGGTCGTTTAGCTTCTGCAATGCCCCATACCTGTCTATGTCTCTGAAAGGGATGTCGTTAAAGGGAATTGGCTGCCTGGCTAAATAGGCGAGGTCTTCTTTTCCCCTGTAAAGTGGTTGCGATGATAGCGGGAAGGGATCAACTCAAATGCTGTATAGTAGTTTTTCAATAGCTGAAATCTGAGTTCTTCTGCTCTGTTTAAGGTTTTTTCTTAAGATAGGTAGCTTCCTTCACACCCCTCTAAAACCACCTATTATCTTTGTCCAAAATGTGAACATCTCTTGTCTGTTCCTCTGCTTGGTTAAAGCTGAAGGTGAACTCAAACATAAAAGAACAACTTACTTTTAGGTTGATAAAAGCTTGTTTAATTTTTCAACTGGAACCTCACAAAGCAAAACAGATTCCAGCCCTATTTTTATTTGACTACTTGAGGAATATAAAATATTTTTATGTACCCCTTGCAATGCACTCAAGGACCACTATGGGTACACGTACCCCTGGTTGGCAATCACTGCTCTAGGAGTCTATTTGAATTGTACAAACCTAACAACTATTAAGCCAAAGCGGAAGTGTGTCAGCAATCGCCATGATAAGTGCTGTCTGAAAAGTACAGGTAGTAAGGAAGGAGGTAAGAAATGGAAGCAGGATTCTTCCTAATGGTTTTTCATTTAGCATCAGGACCTCCAGACATTCCTATCCACAAATTAGGAGCTTTACAGTTTGCCACAATCCTTTCTGTGAAACAACCTATAGGCACAGCCCACCTAAAGCAGTTAAACAGTAATACTTATTTCATGTACTCTGTGTGACACGTGAAAATGTACACACCATGTTATGTTTTATAATAGCTTCAGCAAATGGCCATATTTGTGTAAGTTGTTTCAGGGCAAATTGGAGGATTCCTTTCCTACCAATGATAGTGTTCTTACTGACAGCCCCATGAAAGATGAAGGAAGATGAGCTGGGAAACTGTCCTGCACCGTCCATGCCCCCTTGTGGTGGAAAGTAGTGCTTGTGGTGTGATGGGAGCTAACAACTTCTGGATTGTTGTTGATAGATTTGCCCAAAAGTTCAGGATCACAACACTAGATCAATGGATTTAGATGTTCCAATCACTATACTTCCTGCATGTGCATAAAGTTTAGTGTTAATTGGACCATAATGACACGCCTGGATCATGTGGAAGACATTAACAGCATGGTTAAAGTTAATGCTGTTTAAAATGGGGATCAATCAACAAACTGGACTCTATAGAAAAGGTCCTCTGAGCTAATGAGAATGTAAAAAAATAAAACAATTTAGCCAATTTGTGTAATTCATAATATTGGCAATATTATTTGGGAACTGTATTCACTTATGTGTATCCAGGCTGTTGTTACAGCATTTTTGCCGTGAAATGTTATTTTTTTAAATCATGCATTTGAAAATCAGAGGTCAAAAGTAATGTCACTTTATAGCTTTAGCCAAGCTCTGAAACCTTTCAACACAGATGTTCTGTTATTATGGCACCAAACATCCCTATTCAAATCATGGGGTCTAATTTCCCTCCATGTGTAGTAATGAGCCATTTTAGTAATGTAGTCATATGACAAAAATCATTGTTTCAAGGTAAATGTCTCAGTTATGGAGCCACATTTAACAGCTTGGTTTTACAACAGGTTAATTGGGTCTGGACTTAAAAATACAACAAAACTCCTATTTATGCAGAAAAACTACCGATTCAGTCTCTAAAATTAGTTGGAAGCTACACAAGCATGGATCAGGTTTCAATATCCAAATCAGTGGTTCTCCATCCTGGTCCTTAATTTAAATGGTTTCATCAAAAAAATGTTTCAAAACAGCAGCTCCAGTTAGTTAAAGTTCTCGACAACTATACTGAACCATCTTTCATTTTCAGTTTCTAAACCATATTTCTAATTTGTTCTAATTTGAGCTGTTGCTTTTCTAATGTGTAAAATCCATACGAGCTGTTAGCCAGAAAATGAGATAAAAAAAAAAAAAAGAAACAGGGTAAGGATGTTTAAGAGAAATTTTCATGAATGTTTTCATTTAAATAGAATAAAAATCTGTTATAAAATAACATGCTTACCCAAATCAATTTCTTTGACTATGAGAAAAACTTAAAAACCATGACATGAAAATAAACTATATCCGCTTGACATCAGTTAAAACACACACAACAGACATATAGAACTAAAGCTTCATCTTAAATCATTATTTCTGGAGTTTTGTTTTATTTGAGTTACAAAATATGAAGTGCCATTAGCAGACTCTACAGAGTTTGCCAATTTTCTTTGTGTTACAAGTATTTACATCAGAAAAAGTAAAGATCCATCTAAATTTCCACACTCTGACTTCTCGTATGTCCCGAGGTAAAGTCTCTGTTAAGTCGTCATTTTTCCACTGACGTTTAAATATTTAAAATATTTACAATGTTCTGTACTGAAAAAACAAGTCTTGAAGCTTGCTCAATGTGAAGGCCCGTGCCCAACGTGACCACATCAGTGTTAAGGAAAAACAAGCAGAGATGGAGAACGTAAAGTAGCTGTTAAACGAACATGTTCCTCCTCGGGATCTCCATAGATTTACAAGTTAATACTTCCTCGGATAAAAGGCCAAGTGAGGAAGTCTGTACATGACTTATTCTAAAATTAAACAATGAAATGTCCCGTCAACCATTGCAGTGCAACAGTTTTAATGATCCTCCTGTGAAGAAAGAGGGAAAAAAAAGACATGCCACCCACAATCACCAGTTCTTATTTTAACGTTGCTTTTTTTTTTCCTTCTTCGGTGCGTCTCCAAAAACACTAGAATAAAACTTCAATAAATATAAATACAGCAGAAAAATGGTCAAGTAAGACTCATTCTTCTTTGATCCATCCCTGAGTTTTTCTGTTTTTTTGAGAAGGACAAAAATACCAGACAGGAGTGACAAACAAAAGCAAAAAAAATGTTATGTAAAAAGAAAAATTTATAAAAAGAAATGTACATCCAAACCAATTATCCCCCCACTGCATCCAGGAAAAAAAAAAAAAAAATAAAAAATTGTGGGAGACTCCTCTGGTTTCCTGAGGCTCGTGGGCAAGCGTGTCCAATGATGGGAGGGGGTCCCAGCAATGTAGGTTACACAGAGGTGATGACAATCATGAGGTGTGGTGAGATGCTGGAGATCCTGTTCAAAAGGTCAGGAGCAAGCTGTGATAGGTGGCTCTCAGAAAACTCACAGGGTGGGAAAATCTGGAGCACGTAGGCGGGCTGAGAAAAAGAAAAAAGCAAGATTGGTTTTAAAAAGTTACATTTTTTTTTTACAGCTACATTTCTCATGTAAATTTGCGTAGTTTTAACACAAACATTTATTTTTCATATTGCACTAGAACAGTTAATGAGCAACCTGTACTTGTGTGCTTGTTTGTTCTGTCTAAAATGTTTATTTTGGAATAAAGAGGTTAATATAAAAAATATTTTTGGTCCGATTTATCGATTAATCTAAAAAATAATCGTCCGATTCATCGATTTTTAAAATAATCGTTAGTTGCAGCCCTAGATTAAATGCTTAATAATAAATACCTGAAAACTAACACTAAGGTTGATGCTCATTCAACATCTATGGACCATTTAAATAATAAAAAGTAGTAAGGTTGTGCTTGTCCCAACAGTTTTGTAAACAAACCCAAACCTTTACTAATATATCTCACCTGATTGGAACCTGGATTGGGGATGTTGATAATACCAGCTGCCAATTTGGCCTGCAAGTAGTTGATGAATGCAGCTTTAAGATTTTGAGTTTGGTTTATGACGTCTTCTTGATCTCGTCCACATGGCAAAGCAAGGAGAAGACAGTAATCGCTGTCGCCCTGAAGACAAAAGTCAAAGTTCAAAATCGAGAACACCCCATAAATTCTGTTTTTGCTTTTTAGTCTCACATTCTTAAATAAAACCTGTCTGATAACATGAAGTGGATTAAATTGTCTAAAAATGCCACTTAATGACCACAGATAAAAAATGTAACTTAACAATTAATGTCACTAAAACAAAT